CTTGTGCCAAGGGGATTTGATCTGTACTTCTTGGATTTTCATTTTGACATAAAGCTTACTTTTGCAAAAATGGTTAAAGTGCTTTATCTATTTTGGGATTAATCCATCATGCAATGCTTGAACACATAGAACATGGTCTTGGCACAAAGAGTTTGCATTAAATTTATGAGTGTTGAATGGTTTAGAGGCCTGTAATCAAGTTGCATGTTGATTTGAGAAATTTGCACAAGTTATGAACATGGAAATTGGCCAATTCAAAAGTGAATTTTTGCCATATTGCAAAATTCGATTCTCTCAAGTCATGAGGTTGTTTGATGAGTTTTTGGACATTTTGGAAAGCTTGGAATGTGTACTACAATCCATATTTGAAATTCAAATTGAAATTCCAAGTGGAAGTATGTGAAAAATGGTCTTGAAGTTAGGTAAAAACCTTGCCTAAAAAGGTCAAAATTTCACTAAGTTAAGAATGGTTTAGTACCCTTGTTCCAAAAATTGTAACTTGAGCTACAAGCCTCTTTTTGGAAAACTTTGTGAATCAAAGTTGTAGAATATGCAATAGGCTACAACTTTCATGTTTTGACTTTTGCTTGAATCCAAATGAATCTTGGTGAGAAAGTGGGGCAAAGTTGGGAAAAAAATTAGGGTTTTTCATAACTTAGAAAAATTCTAAGTTATGAAAAATTCTCATTTCAAACCCTAATTTGCAATTTTTGATTTCTTGGTGAACAAGTTTCATGATTTGGCATGTTTTGATGAAAAATGAATCTTGACTCTTGATTTTGACCAAAAAGTCAAAGTTTGACTTTTCAGTATACAGTCAAAATTGATCAATTGACTGAGAAATTCAATTGTCAATCTTGTGCATTTGGGATCTTTTGAACTTGTTGAGCATGTCAAGACAATTCCATGGGGTCCTTGAGTCCATATGTGAGCTTGGCTTGCCATTGGCTAGGTCAAACAGTCAAAAATTGCCTTTGTGCAGTCAAAACCCTAAAAATGACCATTTTGCCCTTTTGGTGATCTGATCAAATTTCTTGTGGAGTTGTGATCCAAACTTGATCAAATGGTCCATGTGAGTTCATGATGTTGATGTGGGTCAATTTTCATGAGGTTTGACTGTCAATTGGCCACAGTTGACTTTTTCCCCAATACAACTGATTTCTAGGTCAACTGTCCAATTGACTGGGCAAAACTTGGAATCAAGACTTGAAACTTGATGTGGATAAACTTGGGAGTCCAATATGAAGCATGAAAGTCATCTTAGGCATTTTAGGTCAGAACATTTTTGTGCAAACACAAACCCTAATTTGGGTCAACAGTGCAAGGAGAAGTCTTGAGCAGATGAAACCCTAACTGGATCTTGATCTCCAAGGGCTTTGTGATGAGAAATCAATGAGAAATGGGAGGGCAAATTTTAGGGTACAACACACCCCATGCAGTTTTTTTTTCCTATTTTTGTCTTAACCTAATTTCTTTCATTTTTCTCTTTTCTTACCCTATTTTTTTTTAATTAACCGATTATTAAACTAACCTAATTTTTTTTACTAATAAATTAGGATTAGGTTTTTTAACTAATATTTAATTTTCATGATATGTTAAATTATTTAACGTTTTTCTTAATATTAAAATTAATTAGAATTAGGGTTCTTTTAATCAATAATCAATTTTTGACATACTTTTTATTTATTTATTAATTAGGCTAATTAATATTTTCTTAAATATTGAAATCAATTAGAATTTATGTTTTAATTACTATTATCATTTAAATTATTTTCTATAAAAATACAAACTTGGGTTTTATAACATTCAAACATTTTTTTAAATATTTTCTTATTTCTTTTTGCTATTTATTTTCTTAGAAAAGTGTATAGGTTGCACTCTTTAATTGTAATAGCTTAGATTTATTTTCTCACGCTTTTTCTCTATTATGTATCTGCTCCTAGGATGTAATAGTTTTAGGGTTTACTTTCCCGCATTTTCCTACTTATGTAACTGCTCAAAGCCCTATAATAGCTTAGGTATTTATATTCCACACTTTACTTTTCTGCTATATTTTATACTACTAGTAACTAGGATTTGTATGGAAAGATTAATAATTGAACCTAGAAAACCCTAATATTCAAGATAAAATAACTGAAACTAATACACTTTGCACACTTACACCTTTAAGGTAACCTCTTTTGATGCCTTACGAATATTGGTCTTGTCCCTCGAAAGTGGGGATACTTTAGCAAAAGACCCTCAATCAAATCATCATCATACAAAAGATAATAGTCCCTCAATGTCCCTCGAGTTGCCTACGGAAAAATGATCTCGTCCCTCGAGTTGCCTACGAATAATATGATGACAGTCCCTTACGAAATTGCTAAAATATCCCTACATGTTACCTTCAATGATCATACAATGACCCTACGCCTGTCCCTTCACATCCAATAGATAGGACTACCTACCAACTAATGATATGGATAATACTATCTCTAAAGGAGAAGGAAAGGAATAAGAACGACCTTGAGTGAGTAAGAAACGCTTAATTACTTGCTCATAAACTTTTTTCAATCACTTTTCAAATGAAATATTTTCAAAAAAAAAAACTTTGTATACATTCTTGAGGATTTATACAAGAATTATTACAAAGCCAGTCTTACATTGGCGATTTCAAAATATTTTCAAACAAATCCCACACACAAAGCAAATTTTCAAAAGTGAGTTAAGTAATTAAGAGTCTGTAGATAACTATGAGTGAAAATGGTGCTAACATCTTCCCTTTTCATATCTTACCCCCCCCCCCCCCCCCCCCCAACTCAAAATCTATCAAAGGTCTTTCCTATTCTTTTCACCTTTCCTAAGTATTGGATAAAATAAGAGTCGGTGACGACTCTTGCTATATGCACATTTGGATAAAACTAAAAAAAGTTTATTCTTCCACTATATTACACACATACACACGCATACTCATGAATCATTCACGTAAAATTTATATTCATAGTATCCCTGCACCACAACATCATCACCATACAAAATAGACAATGTACAATCATCATTACGATTAAACATGATCAAAAAAATAGCAAGTGTTTTTTTTTGCCAATGTAGTAATAATATGAACTTTTCCAGATAGCGATCTCGAGGACTGCGATTAAAATATTTTGCCAATTACAACAACAATGGCATTAACAACAACAAATGCATAAACAACAATGGCATCAACATAAACAAAAACTCAAAAGAAAATGATGGTATTGTAGATGCGTGGAGAAAATATTTACGTACCAGAAATTGGATGAATAAGTAAAAAAATGGTGTTGGCTCCTTCTTTAAGTTCCTCCTCGACAGTTAAACCGAAGGATAAAAGAACGAATAATAGAAGTCGACTCCTTCCTTGAAGGTACGAAAGCACATAAAAATGACGTGGTTTCGTGATGGAAATTAAAATACAGAAGATGATGTTGTTTCGTTAGGGTTGCAATGATGTTGTTTCGTTTAGGGTCTCAATGTCATATATTTTATCATGGGTTGAAATAACGTTGTTTTGTGATAGAAATGAAAATATGTAACTGAAGAGACATGTTAGCTAGTTATGTTTCGTTAAAATAAATAGATCATATCACCGTGGCTTTTAATGAAACCCATTGTGATATTTGATAAAAATTTATAAAAATCGTCAGATATTAAGCATTTAAAAAATTTAAAAATAAATGAAAAATATATCAAAACAATTTTCTTTAAACACAATAGTGATATAATATTTACTTTAATGATATTTTAGAAAAAAAGCGTTAGATTTTTACGTAATTTAAAATTAAAAAAATTGGAAAAATATATCACAACGGTCACCTTTAAGAATCATGGTGATATTCTTTTCGAAGAAGAAGTCGTGTGTTAGAACGGTTCGCAAAGATTTGTGCAAGTTTGATGTCTCATGTCAAAATGACTCCTATTATACCTTTTCAGAAAGGAAATTGGCCCATGAGTCTAGAAGAAGTACTAGGAGTCCTAAAGAATTTCAAAGAGTTGATCGCAGATGAGCTATCAAATGATTTGTCTCATGTATTGATCTTTAGACTTTTTAAACCATTCAAATTCGTTCCAGACTCAAAATGTTGCCATCAACCCACCTGAGAAAGGTCTACACACACTTGCATGTATAGTTGAGTCCACTCATAATCAGTCTTCTCATCCAATTTTGTTGCAACAAACACGAATTGGTGAAAATTCTTCTCACAAAACATATCCTCCATCTTACCTTTTCAGAGAGTCTAATTTGGGGTCAGTTTGTTTCAACTTTAAAAAAATAGATTTTTTTTCTTTGTGTTTTTGAAAATAGATTTTACAAAACCGTTTTTTAAAATATTATAAGTTTTTTTATATTCATTTTTTTCTCTAAATGTAAATACTAATTTTGACATCCTATAACATAAACATATATTATTGAAGACTAAAATATAGTCGAAATCGCAATTTTTTCAAAAAGTTGTATTTCAAGAATGATTTTCATGAAAATCTATTTGAAATAGTTTTAAAATTAAGTGATTTTTTAAAATTTTAATATCCAAAAAAGTTTCAATAAAAAGATGAAATACCTAATATAACATTTTAAAAATAATTATTCAAACCAAATTTTCATTTGAAACTTTTATGAAAAATTTATTTATAAATTTTTTTTACACAAAATTATATAACACTATAAAAATCATTAAAAAAAAAAAAAGCCAAAACAAATTGGCCCATATCAATTCAAAGTCATCATATGAATTGTGTTTACTTTCATCTAAAGAAACCAAAACTCTATGACCGCTAATGAAACTATAGAATGCAACAGAATATTCAAATCTCGTTAAACGCATCATAATATTCAAAACTCGTTAAATTCTCTCACTTTTGTGGAACTTGGACATAAATCTATCAATTATAACGGCTAACCAACTAACCACTACTAATTTGTGACTACCTTAAACAATATTCAACTAATTCTAACAAATCTAAACTATCTCTAAAGAAAATCAAACATTCTCTAAGCCATCACCTTCAAACTCACTATGACCAACTAGTGAATCCAATTCTTTGTTACAACAACAAGCATCATCATCAACAACCTCAAAAACATAGTGACTAACCCATAAAACAGCATGCACTAAAACCAAAGGCACAGCGCAAGCTAAAGTAACCGCAAGACGAATCCCTGCATCGGTCAAAATGAGTAGCACCACTGTCGCAAACACTAGCAAACCAAACACAAACCTTTTATCGATTCTTCTATGAAACACGATATTGTTGGGACATGCTCTTAGTAGTAAATGATAAATGGTTATCACATAGGTCATTATAACCAACAAAATCAATGATGTTTTATGATGAGGAATGAGGATTATGAAGAGTATGATCCATACGAAAAGTGTGTAGTAAAGTCCAAGATTTTCTAAGTTTCGAATGATGCGAATTGCTGCGGATTCTGAGGTTAAAGGAATGCTGAAGGGCCAGTAAATTTTGAAATCGGTGTAGAGTTTTTCTTGAGGTTGTTTTAGTTGGTATGTTTTGGAAAATGATGAAGGTGTTGTTGATGAGGTTTGTGTTCTATGTGTTGCTCCATGAATTGCCATAACACACACTTGATGTAATAGGTACGAGATTTTTAGCACATAATATAGAATTTTGGATTTTTTGGTTCATATAGAGACAAAAGACCTTTTGTTATGGAAATTTCATAATGAACAAAATCCAATATATTGGAAACTTCTTTCATGTTTCTAATGCTGGTTTTATTTTAGTTTTTGGGTCCACTTGATGGCATTCAAATTACTAATTAGTGTGTACTATAATTCAACCTAATAGCACATTTTTGAACAACCACTTTTTTTTTTGTATACATGGAAACAACCAACAAAGGAGAATGATCACAATGTTCACTCCAGCACCAAGCTACACATGTTGATTCAATTCACATTAGCATATGCCTATTAATATAAGATTTAGTTGTGATTAAAATAGTCATTAACAATATAATGTTCTGAGAGTTGCTAACACGCTCTCCCTCGTAAAAAGAATTCGAGTTCAAGTCTTTTAATTCATTCATTTGAAAAGAGGTCATTCTTAAAATCATTGATTTGAAAAATAGTCCCATCTTTTTAAAAAAACAGATATTTGTAAACTTGAAAATTAATCATAATGGATCCAATTACATGATAATGTTCGGTCTAATACCATATTTTTATTCAATTAATTAATCTCGATATCTTAACAGTTTTTTTTTATTGTTTTTATATATTTTTATCTTTACATGCTAAAACCTTCTAAGTTTATTTTCTACCATAATTTTCACTATTTGTGTAATCTTATCCTGTCTAATCTAACCATACAACAAACACAACATCCACATATCTGATAGACTTATTTTATTCTTGTATTAATTCTTAATCACTTGACTTTCTATCCGTACAACATAGAATGTCAAACTGATGTCTAATAAAAAAATTCCTTTATTTTGAGTGATACTTTCATGTCACATGAAACCCCTAAGTTCCTCCTCTATTTCAACCACTTAGCTTAATTTTGATTATTTACATCCCCTTCTATTTCTTCATCATTTTATATTATGCACCAAATATATTTAAACAACATAACTTGTAATATAATATGGTCTCCAACTTTCATATCTAGATTAGAAAGAAAAAAAAAATGTATTGCTAAACTTACATTACATGTACCATGCATATACCATATCCTACTCTACTTAGAAAAAAATCATATGTTTTTAAGACTCATCTACGACCTCTTATTTAAATCTTCCTCCAACTCTCCGAATAATATTGTATCATACGCAAAAAAACATACATCTCGATACTAATTTTTATATGTATTTTGTGAGTACATCCTAAATTAAAATAAAAAAATAAAGACTCCATACAATCCTATTGTAACAAATGTTAATAAAAAATCAAAAGTAGATATAGTCATTCCCTTCAAAAGAAAAAATAGTATTTCGAATTTTCCTATTGGTGCTTTCTCTTTTTATGATTCTATTGCAAATTTGGCCATGTTATGATAGTATCAAGAGCTATGTTATGATAGTATCAAGAGCTAGGTAAACTTCCTTGGCATTGTTTTCCTATGTGGCCCAATTGAATTAAGTGGGATGAATGGTCTAATCATGGTCCTGCAAATGCAGACCAGGAGACCAATGAGACACTAGCCTTAAGCCTCTCTTTGTCACTACCATGGTTTAAAGGGTGAAAAAGAAAGTCGTTGGATATTGAAGAAAAATGAAATCAAGTTTCACATCATGAGATGCGAAAAGAATTTATAAAGAATGAATACTCATCACTTTACAAACTTACTTTGTAGTGTAAGCAATCTATTGTACCAGCAGTATCAAAATTAAATCTAACATGCACTCTTATGAGAGCAACTTAGTGAAAAAAATAATAGACCCTTGAATAACACAACTATGAAATCAACTTAACCTAACAAAATCAGAAAACATGCCCAAAATGGAAAAAAGAATTAATAACTTCATGAAAAGCATCTAGATTATGTATCAAGACACTAGATCATGATATAACTATCATTTCCAACTGAAAAGAAATTCTTCTATTGTAACTAAATTTTCAATACATAATAATGCACCTCATCTATTGTAAAATTAACAGATAATAATAATAATGTAAATACAATACAAAGAAGAGTAAGGAATCTAAACTAAAAGAACTCAAAGTCAAGATATTTACCACCCCCGGGCTTCGTTTCAGTATTACCACCAACCATTTTCTTACTATTGCTCCCAACGCCAACAGTATTATTATTATAAACTGCTTCAGACTTTGCCGGTAGTTCATTTTCCATTGGTCTTGGAATTTCCGGTGGCGTGCTGCACCGAATCAACGCCCAGTTTATGCCTTCAAAGAAAGGATGCTGTTTGAGCTCAGTTGCACCCCTCTTCACTCCAAGACGATTCTGCGGCTCCTTCACAAGCAAACCTCGGATTAGATCACGGCTGGCGTAGCTAGTAGCTGGCGACTCAGGAAACTTGAGCTGCTGCCCTACTACATTGAACAGCGTAGCTCGGTTTCCGGATCCTTTGAAAGGGGTTTTACCATACAATAACTCATGCAAGAAAATGCCGAATGTCCACCAATCAACTGCACTTCCATGACCTTCTCCTTTGATTATTTCAGGGGCGAGATACTCATGTGTGCCAACGAAGGACATCGACCGGGCCGATGTAGGCTCGGCAAGAAGTTCTGGAAGTGCGCTAGTTGTAATGCCAGGATCCGCTTTCGGCTTCCGCGAGTTTTTATTTTTCTGAGAAAAAAGCTTTGGCATAAAACAGACAGGCTGGATGCATACAGATGTAGGCTCAATACAAGCAGGCTGGACACAGAATGCACCACCAGCTGCCCATTTTGAAGGGTCGCTGTCATGAGTTCTGATAAGAGTAGGTGAAACAATACATCTAAGAGAAAGATCGAAGTCTGAGAGCATTATGTGACCGTCCTCTCGAACAAGTACATTTTCAGGTTTAAGGTCTCGATAAACAACTCCAAGCATGTGAAGATATTCAATTGCTAACAGGACCTCTGCAGCATAAAAGCTACATACATAGAATGTCAGATATTGTAGTCGCTATTTTATTACTCGGCAAGGAAATCAGATATATAAGAATTTACTAAATCTAAAGTAAACGTATATGACAGAATATAATTAACATTACACTTTTAATTACATAACCATGTATGGACAACAAAAAGTAGATATTTGTGATGGAGATGCAAACATACCGTGCAGCATACTCTGAGAAATGTTTCCCTGGTTGTCGTTGCCTTAAATTATGCAAATCACCGCCCGGACAGTATTCCATTACCAAACATGAGAATCGGTCAGTCTCAAAATGTGTGTACAACGTTGGCAGAAATGGATGGTCGAGCAACTGCAGTATCTCCCTTTCTGTCTGTGCCCTAACCAGCTTCTTTCTGGCAGCCAGGGATGCCTTGTCCATAACTTTCATTGCAAAATAACACCGAGTTGCACTCAGCTCAGAGAGATACACACTTCCGATATCACCACAACCAAGTCGTCTTAGTAACTTAAAATGACTCATGCCCAAAATTCTATCCCGTGTTCGAACAGCAAGGATAGCCTTCCACCTAGGATCATTTCCTTTATGTGGTTTACTAGCACTACCGGTGATGTTACTCCAGTTGCTGTCATCACTAAGGCCGCTGCTATCACTTGCTCGACTAGCACTAGTTTTTGCACTCTCGAGTGAATCCCCCCTTACACTTCCTTTAATACTATCACAATTCCTGTCTACACTAATCACGCCATCACTAGTGAATGCATCGCTCCGATACGTACTCGCACAACTATTAGCAATGCTCATTGTTCTGAGAACACTAGTACTATCAATACTACTATGTGGACTGGCATTTCCACTTGGAGGTAAAGAAGAATCCCATACACATTCGTTCTCCTCAGAATCTGGGCAAGGTAGAGAATTCCCTTTATTCTGCAACGCAGGAGCACCTGAACCCGGTGATGCTAACTTCCCCATGTCATTTGATTCTTCAAGAGTACTTTCTGCAGGCGAAACAACAGCTAGGCTTGGTTTCTTAGTGAGATTACGAATTGAAAGATCTTCAAGGAAAGGACCCTTCATGTACAATCCAGCTTCAGATTTATTTCGACCTATCGGTATATAAACCGCTCTCATGAGATCAGTATCGACAGGCTCTTGGGGATGACTAGCACCAGCAAATGAGCTCGGATCATTTTCCCCAAAAGAATCAGTACTCCTCTTCAATGTCTCAACATCAGGCAAGAGTTCTTCGTGATCTGTAGGCGTAGCCGAGACAGGCTCTCGAGAGGATTGTTTATCGAATTCCATATCTTCTCTTGCCAAAACAATTCTTCCATTTGATAGCTGCGCCGCTTCTCTGATGGAGGCCAAACGCGTGGTAGGGCGATCCCGTGCTTTTGAAACCGCACGCGCACATGAAACATCCTGACCCGACATTAACCTCTGACTAGCTTCCCTTATAACAGCTAAGTCTGCATCAGAAACCTCAACTAGGACAGGCAAGGTCCGAGGAAGTACTTTCAGCTTGGTTGCACTCTCCATATCATAATCCCAAAATAATCACATCATCAAATAAAAACCAAATGTTACTGCAAAATAAAGCAAGGAGCAAACAAAATCATAAACCATAGACATCATCAACCACAAACCTAGTGTTATCTATTTCTAAATACAATTACAGCTCAATAAACAAACTAGCTCATGTTATACAAGTTAGGAAATTGATGTGAACTGGAAGAAAAAAACATGTAATCAGAGCAAAAACCATGAAATGGAAGAACGCAATTCAGCTATAACAGATATAATAATAAAGAATCAAAACCTCAATGACCCATCAATCATTCTACCTCAAAATACAAACTTTTGAACAATAAACATATAATTCTAAGAAAATAAAGATTAAAAAAAAAGTAAAGTAAAGTGAGGGAACAAAAAGAAGAAACAGAACCTAAATAAAAAAGGCTAGAAGGTAGGAAAATGCAAAAACTAGGTACAGATAGAGATCTAGGAACCCAAAAGAAAAATAACAAGAGACACACCATTGAAATGAAGAAGAAAAAACAATAGCATCTTGAGTGATTCATCTACAGCATAGAGAAAACACACACTCTTTCTGTGTATGTGATTGTGAAAGAAGAATGGTTAGAGAAAAGAAGAAAAAACAAAGTATGAAGAAGCAGTGGAGTGCTTTTCTTGTGACTGATTTGGAACTAAAGTGTCATGTCATTCAAGATAGTAATGCTTTGCTTTTGCTTTCTCTTCTTTCTTTCTTTATTTTTATTTTTTTCTTTCTCAAATTGAAGTATCGGAAATTTACCTCTATTAAATTTGTATTTTATCTATAAACTTTCATTGGTTTCTCTTTTTTTTCTTCTTTTTTTCTATGGGTTTCTTCATACTGATTTAATATAAAACAAGTTTCTAGATTTTTTTTTCAATATAATACTTTTAATTTGTCTAGAAAAATAAAATGTCAAAGTTTAATGTATCTATAAACTTTAAGATAATTTAATAATAATTAAAATATTCATATTAATTAAACTAACCGACTTTTTTAATATTAATAAAATATAAATGAAATTACAAATTGCTTTCTCTATTTTACATTTTTCACAAAAATGATTTTTATATTTTATATTTAAAAAAGACTGTCCTCTAAAATTTTTGTTCTCAAATTTAATTAATCACGTGTCATTTTTTTAGTAACCTATAATTTTTATTTTTATCTTTAAAGGTTACAATATTTTTTTGGTTTATTTTTATATTTAAAAATTTGAATAATTTATTTTTAATAATACATAATTTATATATTTTGTTTTTTAAATTTCAAAAATATCTTTTTATAATTATTTATCATGTTTAACAAATAATATATTATTTTATATATAGATACTTTGTCAATTTTAATTGTTAATATATGACCGAGAAAATAAAATTATTTAAGTTTAAAATATGAAAATTATTATCGTAAATATGATAAAATAAAAAATTATTTAACCTAAAATATATGACAAGATTTTTTATATATTTAAATATATATATATATATATATATATATATATATATATATATATATATATATATATATATATATATATATATATATATATATATAATTTGAAAGATGTTGAACAACATAATTATTTTATCGAAGAACATAATTTTGCGTTAAATAATATTATATTTTGAATAAAATTATAATGTGAATATCTTTTTTCAAGAAAATTATTTAATTTTTTAAATTTTTTAAATGAATAAATAAATATAAACACCAAAAATTTAATCTTAAACTAACCGGTTAGATCTATTTAATTTAATTAACACATATTAATTAAATTATTTCACTCACTCAAATTTGCTAATAATTTATATAAGTTTTAGATTAATTTGATAATAAAGTAAAAGAAAGATTAAATTCTTGGATGAATATTGAAAAGTATAAATGTTTGATTCTAATAATTTTAGATGATAAATTGACCAATAAAAAATATATTCAAATAATAAATTAATTATCTTTAAATTATTTATTAATAAAAAACTGGTAAATTTAGTCAGTCGTAATATATTTAAAATTATATGTACAAAGTCAAAAGTTTGATTTTTATTTATCCATACATTTATAGAAGAGAATCATTAGGTAGATGGTTTTTGCTTTTTTTTTCCTTCTTTTTTTTCTTACTTTTGCCCTCCTTTCTTTTAATATACTATTTTCTTGTTTAAAAAAAATATTTAAAAACAATAAGAACTCCTTATACATTTAGAAATTAAAATAATTTTATTCAAAGTGAGAGAGATTGTACTAGATGGTTTTGTATTGTGGGGGCGCAATAGAGAGAATGTGGGTCCCCTTATGTTCCTTCTTTGAGGTACATTGCTTTTCAAAAGTGGTGCCGTGGTAGGACTGAAAAATGAATGAAACAAAAACAAAGAAAGTGAATGGCCAACTCAACTTCAACCCATTTTCAAGGATCTGATTTTTATGAATACTTTACTAAAATTCACGGATAAATTTATCAAAAAGGTGTTATAATTTTTTATTAATATCATAAAAATAATTTTTTGTTTTACAAATATAAATTTAATAATCTTTTGTTATGAGACAAATTAAATCATAAAAGTGGAATTTATAATGAAATATGAGAGTAAAGCAATATTGGTTAATGCTAATATTGTTTCTGCCACGTTTTCTATGGTGGTTATTAGTTGAACTCTTCGTTTCGGTGAATATACTAATCACATATTAGTGCGATATTAGTGCGGCTGTACGAGCAAATTTATTTGATATGATATAAATTATATTTAGATATATATTGAAATTAACTATTAATTTTAAAATGAATAACGATTATATAAACTCATATTATATTAAAATATAAAGAGAAAAAAGGACTCGTGAGATAAAAAGATGAATATTTAATATTTAAAAATAAAGATTTTATCTTTCAAATTAAGGTAATTACTGATTAAATTAAAATATGTATTGTATTGAGAGTGAACTGTGAAATAGAAATTTTATTTGATACAATATAAAATATATTTATATACATATGTAAATTTGAAATGAGTTATTGTTTACTGTAAAATTTAGTAAACAAACGTTAGTCTTCTAAAAAAAGGTTATTTACAGGATCGACCAATTGATCTTAAGACAAATGTGCGTGAGTGTTCGAGACTTTGTTTAAATGTTTAGTGTAAAGTGAAATTTACTTGGATTTCGACTAAATTAAAAGTAAAATTTTACAAAAAATAACAGGACTTTGACTTGGTCGAAATCTGGATAAAAGTAAAGCAAAAAGTAAAAGTGATGTGCAGGAAAAGATAATTTAAAATTAAGTAAAATTACTTAAAAGGTAAAGAACATGGTGTTTAGTATCATACATTTCACTCAAATGACTCTTTTCTCACTTGACACTTTGATACTTTGAGTTTGTGAATTTTTGTGGTGATTTTGGCACACCAAATCCTAACACTAGAACTCTTATTATTTATATTAATACTAAATTAATTGTCTTCAACGACTTTCTTCTTGGAGATCGACACGTCTTTGATGCATGTGTTCCGCCCTTGAATTTGCCTTCACGTGTACTTTCAGATAAGATCAAAAAACAGTGATGTTGCTCTTCTTCCTCTGTTCTGGATTGGGCCTGCCCTTGGCCCAACTCCATTTGAGGCTCAATCTAATTATGTCGTCCAAACCTTACTGACCGATTCTGCCCTCGATACCGTCGGGCAGAAACTACTCCCTGCGAGGAGACACAACTCACCACACGGGGAGGAACCCAATTACCCTTAGGAAGATCACCACCGAGCAGGAGGACCTCGAGGTCACGCTCCAACCCTCTCCTTAACCAACAATGATCCTATCACACGACCTCGCGATCAGTGAGGGCATCCTCGACGAGCAGAAGCACCTCACGAGCATCCTCCTCATAGGGATGACTATCAGCATCCCCTAATATCACAGAGTTTTCGTGGCCCTAGAAATATCGCATTCATACCCTCTTAATCTTGCGGAGGAAGTCATCCAGGTTGGGGATCACGTACGGGTCCCCACTACTCACGTAGGACCTGACAATCTCCATGTTGGGCTTGCTTGACCAGCCCAATGAGGAGACCTTGGCCGAACGCTGGGGGCTATAAATACCCTATCCTACGAGAGGATTAGGTATTGAACATTTCTTACTCATATACTTGCTTGCTCATTCTGAAACTTACTTTTGCATTGGAGTGTCTTGCAGGTACCCCCCACCTCACTCTGAACTTCTGCTCGAGCTAGTTGTGACGGTCCATTCTGGTCAGCTACGATCAGTAGCGTCGTCTGTGGGAAACTTGCTTCCCCGTCTTCCATCTAAACAAGACTAAAGCTAATTGCACTCATCTGACTGTCATGGATGATCAAATAGCAGAAAATAACATGAACTTTTGTCTCGCCGACGCCAACAATAACATCACCGACAATAACGTTGGTGTCAACAACACTGGTCCTATTGGCCACAATATTGGATCCACTGTTGACATGCCCGGCCCATCAGAATACAGAGATGGGGCGACTGCCTCGTCGTCATCACTATCCCAATTACTCGAAGACGATTGACCACCTCCTCAGAACTTCCAACTCAACCAGTTCCAGGAGGTCCCCGTTCCCGCCGAAGCGGATGCCACGATCAGGGCACTGTTCACGGTGATAAACCAAATAAACTATCTGATCTTCTCTCAAGGAGAGAGATTGAAGGCGCTAGAAGATGCTCAGAGATCCCCCAGAAGACACAGGAGGCCTCATTCCCCTCCTCCTCGCCAGATAGAGGAACGTCCCCAATCTCCCCGCGAAGACGCAGGCGGGAAGCCTCTTGAAACCCTTCTCCCTGACCAATCGAGCGACGCCCCGCGTTGGAGAGGGACCAGCCTGTAGATATAGGGAGACGCAATCACATCCCCTCGCGTCAAGAGCAAAGACCCCCTAAAAACAGGAACAAGGGAAATACTGAATGACCACACCGTCTGTGATACGGTGGGAGAACTGAATTGAGGTTTTGCGTTTGTTTTCGCACTTGTTCGGTTTAGCAAGAGTCGCCACCGACTTTTTATTTTATCCTAAGGAAAGTCCAAAAAGCACAGGAAAGACCTTTGAGATGTTTTCTTGGGTTTGGGGGTAGATTATGAAAAGGGAAGGTGCTAGCACCCTTTTCATCCATGGTTATCCATGGGCTCTTAGTTACTTGTTTTAGATCACTTGCCTTTGCTTTTCAATTGTTTGAAATGGTGCTTTGTGTGTGTGGTTTTGAAAATGTCTTGAAAAAGATGCCTTGTCTAGGAAACCATTGTAATGATTCTTGTTTGAATATATACAAAGGTGTGTGTCTTTTTGAAAAGATAATTCAATGTTTTGAAAGTTGTTTTGAAATTATTTTGAAGTTGTGTTATGAAGTGTGTTTGAAAATGGCAAGGATGTTTTGCAAGATTTTTGATCAAGTAACTAAGAGTTGTCTACCCTATTTTACTCAAAGATCTTTCTTATGTTTTAAACCTTTTAACAGTGTTGTTT